CCACACCAGATGGAAAACTCTACAGACTGTCGGTTCACACCCCATCACAAGCCAGCAAAACATCCACGAAACAAAGAAAGGTCTGTCACAGCCAAAAAATACACTCCAGACACGCCGCTGGCACTAGAGGCAAACAGAGCTGCCTGGTAACCGGTAAGCCGTAGGCAAAGAGGGAGAAGAGGACAACAAACGAGGGGATGTGATAAACTGTTTCATCGGAGAGTTTCACCGACTCATTAAGGTGGATTATCACTTACAGTGTAATCAGTTAGGGGATTCTGCAGACTGTTGAGGGTTCAGCCTCCTGATGAATCGGTGAAACTCCGATAAAACAGTTTGTCACAGCCCCTTGTTCGTTGTCCTCTTTTCCCTCTCTGCCAACGGTTTATCGGGCAGCTCTTTTACCGCCCCCCGAACAAAACCAATTCGTTGTCGAAACTCCCAAGCCGCCAGTGGCTTCTTGTTGCCGGCCTCCCGAACCAAACCAAACCGTTGTCAGGGGAAGGGGCCCAATGCGTCACACCTACGGGTCGGGCCACAATTTCGTCAGCTATAACGGGGCTAGGCAAACAGCAGATCGGTAACCCTTCTCGTTGCTTTATGAGGGCAGATCTTTTCGTTTGGAGATAGTGAAGCCCTACATCTTATAGGCATTGTAGTGAATTACTTTCCGTTTGCATCACATTTCTTGGTAACGTGGAAGAAGGCGCGTTTGTCAATCACTCTGAGGCGTTCTACTCTTCTTCTTCTTTTTCTTCTTCCTCTCTCTCTCTCTCTCTCTCTCTCTCTCTCTTGCAATTTTCTTGATTCTCGGTTGATATTTTGTCTAGTCTTGTCTCTCACGTCTGCATGTGTTTATGAAGGTTGTGCACACTCCCGTACCAGAGGAGCCAATGGAAGACGAGGGCAGGGAGAAGGATAAGGAAGAGGACCAGAAGGAGGAAGAAGATGGGGAGGAGTACAGTGACAAAGAGGGTCAGGAAGAGGAATGGGAGGAGGATGAAAAAGGAAAAAAGTACAACAAGGAGAAGCAATACGTAAAGCACAAAATTACCACTCATCAGTTCGCAACATGGAGGATGTCTCTTCAACTAGAACGTAAAAGAAAAACCCGCTTTAGTTTCTATCGTTTTCAAATGCGTTACATAACATGTGATGCCATTAAAATAATAGCAATGCCAAAGGAAAAGCAAAAAGGGGGAAGGGAGGGAGGGAGAGAGGGGCGGAGCATCACTCACTCGAGACTGGGTCCAACATCCCAATTGTTTACATTGATTGGGACTCCGTAACCGATAGCCTCACACCCCTAGGTTGCCATTGATTCAAATATGACACAATAACACTTTAAAAATGTATCGCCAATAAAGGCAAATGCATTTAGATGTGCATGTGACTTTGTGGAAATGGGCAATCCGTTATCACGTTGTGTTCTGCTCGTGGTCTAAAATAATGCACTGAGCTCAATCTTTAGATGATTACTCCATATTCAGAGCAATGATAAAGAACTCATAGTACGCATGAGGCAATGCAATCATTGGGCCGCCATTGTGCAAGAAACGCATGAAAAACTTGCTTTGTCGTTGGGGAAGGCGGGAAGAGGAGCAGGTGATTGGGTAGATGATTGTTATGGGGAGGATTGAAAGGGGAGGGTGTCAGGTTGAAGCAAATGAGGGATAAAAATGAAGGAGGGGAGAGAAAGCAAAAAGCGGATGCAAAATGATGAACGAGGGTTGTAAGATCAGGACGGTTCCTTCTACTTTTAGTTGTTATAAGCCAACTTAGTGTCCACAATTCCGCAACCCTAACTATTCGTCTTTAAATTCTTAAATCTTTGTCAATGTTTTAAGAGGGGTATCCCATATATGGTCCTTTTGGATAGACTGGAGTGTTTGCTTTAAATTTGTGTGGGTAGTTTTTATGTTGATTTTAATATGCCCGGATAGAAACATCTCGTTTTCGAAGTCACTATAAGAAGTGATAGTCTTATGGTCGTTAACAAAATACTTTCATGAGAACCCCATTCGGGTGGGAGGTTGTTTTTCAACACCTCAAAACTGTTGAAACCCTAAAACTAGATTGAAGGAGAAACATGATTGGTTTGCCCTAACTCTTATATTTTTTTTATAACACATTTCAAACTACACGCCGAAATAACATCCTTAAAAATCAGCTCGTGCCTGAAAATATATGAGAATACAAAATGGTCCACATATAATCCATGTTAGACAGACATGGTTCATGGCAAGGCAAAGTGAGGGTCATTATAAGAGGGATGAATCGGCAGTGTAGCAATGGGCAAACGACATGCATATAATTTAATTTTGAATTTCAAACCGAAAGTAGTATATCGTGTGTCCATCATTCAACATAACATTTATTTGTCGTGTCATTTTGATACAAAGTTATTAACGTGTTTGTTATCATCATTTACCATTGAGATTTCTCCTAAAATCCTTATATTTATAGTGAATTGGCATACCTCAACCTCATTTTGTTCATGTGAATTGGATACCCCTGCCTTAAAAATCTTTAATCAATAATTTTTGTTGCAAAGCTTACAATGAGAAACAATTGTATCCAAAAGGGGAAGGTAATAGGCCCAAGTCGTAATGAACAGATCGTCTTCCCTGTTCAGAATGAATACTCGCACTATAAATAAGTTCATAAAAAGTGAGCGTAAATAACTTTTTCTTTAAGAGGTGGATTGAAATTACAAGGTGAACCAATTAAATTTGCTAATATTTTTGTAGCTTAAGTATATATAATTCAACTGCAATGTTGTTTGCTGATTACAAAATTGATTTTCAAATGAAGGTTACATACGGTTAACTAACATGGTTATAAGTAGCAAAACAAATTATATTCCTAAGAGGATTGGACCCTTTGTGGTCTGCAAACTCCACCAACCAATGATACTTTGAGTCACAATCCGCCGTCACCCTTGTTGTGGTTAAGTATCAATGATTGACCTACAACAAATACCACAAGGTGAGCGTCAATCATTGCACTCAAGGGTACCTCTTGAATATTTACACAATGCAGGTTCATATCCAATCAGCCAACAAAGGTTTTTGTGTCAGGTTGTGGTTAAGCGCCAATAATGACCACAACCACTATTAAACTACAGCAACAAGATAGCAAAAACCTATATATATCGTAATAAAAACATATATGATAAAAAAAAAAAAAAATGCTAAACTATTTCTTCATTTTTTTCAGAGACTTATCCAAAAGGTTAAATACACTTAAAATTTGCAATTTTTTTTAATTGATAGTATTAAGTGTTTATTCGTCTTAACCTTAAACCACTGAAGTTGCAACCAAGTATATATAAAAAAAATAATAATAATAATAATGCATATAATTTTTATTTTTATTTTTGACAACAGGGTTAAGTTGATAAAGTCGATGATTATAAAGTTTGCGGTTTTATGAAGAGTAAAACATCAATTCATAATCAAATTGTTTTTTGCATACACTTAGGGTTGCCGGCGTTCGGGACAGGCCGAACGCCCGAACCTGAATGTCGAACGTCCTCTCGGCACGTTCGGCCGTTCGGCCGAACGTAGACCAAAAAAAAAAAAAAAAAAAAAAATTCCAAAACATTTGAAAAAGATACATGTTATACAGAACAATAAAATAAACATGTCTCAACGTTACATCCAAATTCTTAACCAAATTTAAAATAAAAATCAAATATTAAAAATAAATAATTATAATCAGGGTCACCAGCCCGTACGTACGGAGGTTCGCGGGCCGACCTCCGTACGTACGAGCGTTCGGGGTCCCGTACAGGGCCCGAACTCGACAACGTTCGACCCCCGCAAAAAAATTATTTCAGGGCTTAAAAAAATTATTTTTTTTTGAATGTTTTTTTGCAAGTTCTCTATAGCGTTAGGTACCTGCCTATAAAGTTTCAAGTCATTTGGCTCAGCCAAATAGGAATTAAAAATCGTCAAAGGTGGCGGTGTCAAAACATTCTCGCCCACGTATTTGTTCACTTTTTACTTTTTGTTTTCACTTTAGTTAGGGGTCTAAACAATTTTATTATTTT